CTGATAATTCCCTCCCTGCTCAAGTTTTCTGCATCATCGTCCCAGCCTTTTGTCCCCTGCTTACCAGCCCTCTGGTCTTAGATTCGATATATATACCTGCTTGATGGGGTACTTTGAGTTCTTCTACTCCCCAAGCTCGGCCCAAAACCAGGCTTGACTTTTGATAGCTTGATCCAACAGGATGTTGCTGGGAGCGGCCCGCAGGCCCACATATCTACCACAGCCCGGTTAGTTCGGCACTTCTTGAAGAAAACGTTCTCGCTTGTAGACGGGCAAACTCCTACAGGATGATCAAGGAAGGGCGGCGAATTCACGAAGTACAATGTTGCTGTCACCTTGATACGGTAATATATGCAACTGTTATATATACCAATAGACAGAAGTATAAGATACATTTGAAATCCTTTACCATGAAAATGTCTAAGGTGAAAGAGAACATATATGTATTGTTATAAATGCTCCCTGTAAGCCCGGAGCACCGAGCCCTACACACTGGTCGATAAATTGTGTAATAATCAGATTAATATCATGCAAATAAAAATCTTTTATACAAAAAAGACCATGCTCGGCATAGCAGCAATGCCTTTATCACCTGAAAAGTGTCGAATGCATTGTGGGCATAGGTGCACCACTCGTCAAGCGAAGAGTTGTGGAAGGTGACCGCATCCTTGTGCTGGACCTCGGCTTCTTTGACAGCTTCCCCCGCCCTCTCCTCCGCCAGCGTTACCTGCCACACGACAATGTTTACTCTCCATACCTGTTTACACCTGCGACTCTGATAACTGCCCGTTATTGTTAAGAGTTATAGGCAGATGTATTTGTATTGTATTTGTACTTCCATCTTCAATCTTACCTTCATATCCTGACTCACTTCTTTATTCAGCCCGTTCTCCTAAGGTTTCCCAACGTCAAGAAACTGGCGTACTAAAGTGTCCTTATCCTAACCTACCAGAGGACTCAAAACAGAAAACGAGACAGTATGTCAATTTCGCGAGCCGCTACCGTTTTCTAATACGAAAGTTTTTGCTCTTAGGTAGAGCATACGTCAAAATGCGACGCTCTATTAGGAGGACGGGTTGCTTCATAAGCTTTCACAACCTCACCAGCTACATTCATAACCTCACCAGGTATTCTCACAACCTTACTGGCTGCCCTCACAACCTTACTGGCTTGATGGCAGGATGCCTGCCATCAAGCTGGTGAGGTTGCTTTTCAGTGAGGTTGGCTACAATTGAGGTTATAGGCCACAATTGAGGTTATAGGCTACAAATGAGGTTGGCTACAATTGAGGTTGCATCCTCACCATAAAGCTCGTAAGGTTGGCTACAATTTAAGTTTTTCACCAACCTCTCCAGGTGCTCTCACAACCTCACTAGCTGCTCTTACAACCTCACCTATTGATCCTCATTGAATTCTCACTGACCATCAGTACCTAACGACACCTCATTTTTCACCAGTTAAATCTTTTACATATTTCCCTCTTTAATAATCTACTGTTTTGGCCAGCGTATCCTCGCCTTTATTTAATTACATTTTGACCCCTTGTTCTTCACACAACTTTCGCTCTCTGCAAACCAAATACTTTTATGGCGGCTGCGCTTACCTTCTCTAGCTCCTTAGGCTTGGCGTCTGGTTTAGCACCGAGTGCTTGCTTCTGTGCTTCCGTATCCACCAACTCCCGAACTTTGTTCTGTGGAGACACAACAGTTTGGAGGAAAATTTGTATGTAGTACTGAGATATATATATATATATATATATATATATATATATATATATAAATATATATATATATGTTGATATGTTGTACCTAGTAGCCAGAACGTCGAACTCAGCCTACTATGCAAGGCCCGATTTGCCTAATAAGCCAAGTTTTCCTGAATTAATATATTTTCTCTATTTTTTTTTCTTATGAAATGATAAAGCTACCCATTTCATCATGTATGAGGTCAATCATTTTTTATTGGAGTTAAAATTAACGTAGATATATGACCGAACCTAACCAACCCTACCTAACCTAACCTAATCTATCTTTAAAGGTTAGGTTAGGTTAGGTAGCCAAAAAAGTTAGGTTAGGTTAGGTAGTCGAAAAACAATTAATTCATGAAAACTTGGTTTATTAGGCAAATCGGGCCTTGCATAGTAGGCTGACAATTGCGTTCTGGCTACTAGGTACGACATATATATATATATATATATATATATATATATATATATATATATATATATATATATATATATATATATATATATATATATATATTATATCAACACGTGTGATAAATATGCTTACAACCTATGTAATTGGTTTATCAAGGCTATAACTTAGCTAAATTTTTTTTTTGGGGGCAGGGGGGTGTTCAATTACTGAACCCATTATATGTGCCCCTGTAACCTGTTCTACTACCACCTGTAAGTAGGGTATGGGTCACATTTATTGGACCCATTATGTGCCTCTGTAACATTCCACTGCTACCCGCAGGAGGGGCGTGGGGTACACAATGAATGAACTAAACTAAAAAAAAAAAAATCAAATGACAAATTGAAACTAATGTAAATAAGAAAATTCCACGAGAAAATACAGAGTCAGTTATAAAAAGAATATGATATTCGTATGACATTCCCAGGCACTGAGTGGGAACCATTAATACAAACACATTTGAATAAACATTCATAGTTTCAATCATCATAAATAAATCTTCAACTTTACTTTAACAACAAAGGGTAGCTAACATTCTAAGTGTTTATACAAAAATAAATACATTAAGTATAGGTGATGTCTTCTCACATACTTAATAACATAGGATAAAACTCACACTTATGTTTTTGTGAATTTGATGTAAAGATTTACATCAAGTTTTTCGCACTCATGTGAGTGCTTTGTCAAGGTGTGACAAGGTTAGTCAAGGTGTGTTATTGGGACGAGACTTACATCTCAACGTATAATGCCAAAGGACTATTGACATCAGTCGTTGAGATACGTGATTACAGTGAGCCTCGTCCCAACCATATAATCCAACCACTCAGGAAAGTGAGAAAGACGGTGTAAAGATTTACCTAAAATTCCCAAATATAAGTGTGGGTTTTTATCCCAAATAAATACAATTGTGAGTGTATGTACTTTGAATTATGTAAGTATTGCCAAAATATAAATGTCTACTTAATGTACTGAAGCCAGTGGCATATAGGGATTAATTGACAAGGACATAAAGTAGAATATATATATACGTGAGAACACAGAGGCTCGTGTCTTAGTGGTAATATGTGAGAAAGATGTTGTTGTTGAAGATTAAGCCACGACAAGAGGTGGCACGGGCATGAATAGCCCGTAAATTGAGAAAGGCTGAAGCTGCGGTATATATACCTGAGCATCCCGCTGAGCCTGCCGCACTCGCCGCACTCCATCCCGCACCTGCTGCTGCCGCTGCCTGCAACCATATCATATGCAACTTTTACTACATCATACTGCAGTAATTGATACGCCAATATCAGTGCAACTACTTCAACCAGCTAAGACACATGGTGCATTAAGTAGACTACATATCTCTAGATTGCCAGAAATCATTTGACACTGTCCGAGATTAGAGGAATCTATATAAGCTGAAGAAGCAAGCAAGAGTATCTGACTAAAAATAGACATAATCCAGCTGAAGAATGAGACTCCATTGTCTCACTGTTTTCAGATGACACAAGACAGAAGAATCAGGACGAGAGAAAAGTAGATGCTTCAGGTACTTGGTGTACTGCTGCTCTCAGATTGTTCATTGACAATCCAAGGTTACACTCAACGTCTCCTTTAAAGACAGATTCTTTGGGTAACTTATCAGCTTTTATCATGCATTCGGAGGCCAACATGAGATGGAGACCACATGAAATGGACTCTGTTACCATCATTAATAATTTTTAGACTTAAATTATGTGTGTTTCGATAAGGGATTACTAGATTTCAACCTTAATAAATGGGAGGTCATTGGGGAAGAGAAACCAGTTTAAAAAATGAGGGGATGTAATACACAATGAAATAAGAAACCTACCAGTGTCAGTGCAAGAAAGATATTTGAGAGAACAAGCAATTTGTTTTTTATTATTTAGAAAAATTAGGTATACTCAGCAATGTACTGCTACCTTATTCTATATGAGATATTACACAGTGTTGATCAAGAACTAGCTATAGGTTCAACTATTATTCCCAACTCCCAGGATGGTTAGTCATACATGGAATCAGGGGAGATAATACCTGCCTTAATACAAATACAAACCAGCTCTGACTAAACAACTGGCTATAGGTTACACACAAACTTGCGACAAGAACCACAAACACACATTCCTATAATCACCACATGCAACGTTAACGAATATCAGCATAACAGACAAAAATGGCTTTTAGAAGCCTGCACTCCGTAAAGACTTTTGAAGGTCTTGGTCCCAAGAATGAAGAAGTCATGAAACTTGTACACCGGAAGTATTCTCGAGTCAAGTCCTTCAACACATCCATGGACCTGGACTCTCCACCACAAACCAAGTGATTCAGAGCTTCCTCCTCAAAGTTCTCAAATAGAATATTTAGAAACTTCTAAGGTTTGGCAAAAGACTGGTTCTAAATCTTTGAGGATTGAGTACAAGGATAGACTGAAGGATCTGAACTTAAGGGCTCTTGATAGGACAATCTATTCTATACGTACAAGATATTGAGGAAAATCGATAAAGATGCCGCTGTTCATTTTGACTAACAACAGGGGGAGAGAGAGGATGGGAAGCTAGACTTAAACTTAGCTACAGAAGTGTGAGGAAACACTTCTTCAGTTAGAGAAATAAACAACTGGATTGAATTAGAAGCGAAGGTTGTCAGGAGGGAGGGAGGGAATTATCAGGAGAAAGCGCCAAGTCATCACGACTATATAGCACTTTGAAGGGATCAGGATAAGGATTTGGGATGGGATGGGGGAGAAGGAATGGTGTCCACCCAAGCACTTAGAAGGGTCGGGGATTGAACGCCGACCTGCATGAAGCTAGACTGTCGCTCTACCGTCCAGTCCAATTGCTTGGGTGGAGGTTGTCAAGAATTAATAGACAATCAAATATGACAAAAAATAACGGGAGGGTCGCTGCATGAGGAGGGGGAAGAAGGGGGGAGTGAAAGTTTAAAGCCTCATATTCTCCCCACACATAAAAAAATGATCGAAACCTTGACCTAGGGATAAAATGTTAATAATTTCCTCATCACTGTTTATGAAAATAATATATGTAGTTGAATAAATTTCACTAAAATAATATGTTAGTTTAGATATTCGTCAGAAAAAGATAATCTACTTTTGAGTTTAAATTCTTTCCAAATTACTCTCGGCATAAAAAAATATTTATCCGGTTTTCCAAAGAGGAATTTAAAACTTAATGAGGCGTAGTTTGTTATTTAGCCAATAAATAACTGCTCAATGACTTGGATGTGATTAATTTTCCTCCAATAAAATTCCTTATTCGAAGCAAATGGTTCAAATTAAGAGTATCCTAACTGGCCTCCGCTTGTGTGTTTGACCACAAGAGCATCCTAACTGGCCTCCTCCTGTGTGTTTGGCCACAAGAGCATCCTAACTGGCCTCCTCCTTGGCCACAAGAGCATGGCCGAAGCCTGTGTGTTTGGCCACAAGAGTAATCCTAACTGGCCACAAGAGCTCCTAACTGCCTCCTGTGTGTTTGGCCACAAGAGCATCCTAACTGGCCTCCTCCTGTGTGTTTGGCCACAAGAGCATCCTAACTGGCCTCCTCCTGTGTGTTTGGCCACAAGAGCATCCTAACTGGCCTCCTGTGTGTTTGGCCACAAGAGCATCCTAACTGGCCTCCTCCTGTGTGTTTGGCCACAAGAGCATCCTAACTGGCCTCCTCCTGTGTGTTTGGCCCTTAGAGCATCCTACCTGGCCTCCTCCTCCGCATGTTTGCGGATGAGCTTGGACTGTGTGAGGTGCTGGGTGAGCTGAACAGTCTGGGAGATGATGGCTGCCGCAGCATCGACACTGTCTTGCCCCCAGGTCTCCACACTCTCCCGGGCAGCATGTAGAGATGTCTTCAGCTCACTCACCATCAAATAAAAGTTATTTATCCATTACAGAGTAGAAGATGTAAGGCAATGCTTGCTCTTCTTCATCACCTTAACAATATTTTGTTTGAACACTTGCATGAATGGCTTTGACTTTAGAGGTATAATAGCAAGGTAATTTCCAAGAGAAGGCGGCTAAGGCAGTATGGCTACAGAGCACATAGAAGGGTTATATGGACTGAGTATGAACTGGGTTATATGGACAGAGTATGAACTGGAATATTAGGACAGTATGAACTGGGGTATAAGGACAGAGAATGAACTGGGGTATAAGGACAGAGTATTAACTGGGATATAAGGACAGAGTATGAACTGGGATATAAGGACAGAGTATGAACTGGGATATAAGGACAGAGAATGAACTGGGATATAAGGACAGAGTATGAACTGGGATATAAGGACAGAGTATGAACTGGAATATTAGGACAATAAGAACTGGGATATAAGGACAGAGTATGAACTGGGTTATAAGGACTGAGTATGAACTGGGATATAAGGACAGAGTATGAACTGGAATATAAGGACAGAGTACGAACTGGGTTATAAGGACAGAGTACGAACTGGGTTATAAGGACTGAGTATGAACTGGGTTATAAGGACAGAGTGAACTGGAATATAAACTACGAACTGGAATATAAGGACAGAGTATGAACTGGAATATAAGGACAGAGTATGAACTGGGTTATAAGGACTGGGATATAAGGACAGAGTATGAACTGGGATATAAGGACAGAGTATGAACTGGGATATAAGGACAGAGTATGAACTGGGATATAAGGACAGAGTATGAACTGGAATATAAGGACAGAGTATGAACTGGGTTATAAGGACAGAGTATGAACTGGGATATAAGGACTGAGTATGAACTGGAATATAAGGACAGTAAGAACTGGGATATAAGGACAGAGTATGAACTGGGGTATAAGGACAGAGTATGAACTGGGGTATAAGGACAGAGTATGAACTGGGATATACGGACAGAGTATGAACTGGGGTATAAGGACGGAGTGAAGGAACAGGATCCAACCTCTTGGACCATCGGGAACAGAACGCCGGCCCTGCAAGAAGCGAGGCTGTCGTTCTATCGACCAGCCCAAGTAGAAGGACCTTAGAATTCAACGGTGTTTAGTGTCTTACAACTGACTTCTAGGTTCAAATAAACTGACTTACCCATGTTCCATATCAGGCAGGGAGGAGTTTTTGGCAGACTTGAGAAGTGTTCGGCCAAAGGTGTCCATGGCTGCGGCCCTGTCAGTGAATCCAAGTGGTCTTAACAAGCACTCAACTCTGAGGATAGTTACAGGCTGTAACTATCTATAACTGTAACTTACAGTCCCACCTTGCTCAAACTGGGATTAGTTAAGGTAGTATTAATAGAGGTTGACAAGGAAGTGATTCATTGAAATTTCAA